GGTAGCCCAGGCTGGCCTCGAACTCACAGAGATCCGCCTGCCTCTGCCTCCCAAGTGCTGGGATTAAAGGCGTGCGCCACCACCGCCCGGCTAATTTTAATTTTTTAAATGCCACTTATTTGTCCTGTCAATATTTAAGAAATAAAATATAACGCATGGTGGTTCATACTATAATCTCAGCACCTGGAAGGTTAAGGCAAGAGTATCGCCACAAGTTTAAGGTCAGTCTAGGCTACACAGTAAATTCTAGGCAATCTGGGCTAGAGTGAGAACCCACTTCAATAAAAAAACAAACAAGGGCAAGCTACATGTCTCAGTGGATAAAAACACTGCTGTTAGGAAAGACAACTTGCAGTCTATCCCAGAGACCCACATGGTGGAAGAACATCAACTCCTACAGGTGTTGTCTGACTACTTACAGACGTTCCATGTTCACACATACATAGACACAAATAAATGTCATTAATACGAAAAACTGAAAGAAGTTTTCAAAAAACTACTACTGTACCTTACAGTGGTTTCGTTCAATAAACATTAAGTCCATTTCTTTAAAAATTCTACTAAATTGCTTTTAAATTTTCTGATTTATTATTATTATTGTGGGAGTGAGGGCTGAAGTCAGGTCAGAGGACAACTCTGTGGAGTCATTTCTTTCCTTCCACCTTTACCCGAGTTCCTAGACTCAAACTTAGTCATCAGGCTTGCACGGCAAACATCTTAACCCACTGAGCCATCTCACAGATGGCTCTGAAAATTATTTCTTGTTAATGAACAATACTAACAGAACAATCCTTTTGAACTCCTCATCCTTAAATTCATCACCTTAAGAGTATCAGCTCATACTTACAATTTCCTGTAATATGAAGCATTGGCAACTTTGGCTGAAGAGTTGTACAAAACATCAGACACCAAATATAATCTGGCAATCTGTAATGCAAAATGAGACAAAAGGAAAACAATAGCCAACAACATATCTAGAAAGTAACCTGTACACTCATTCCTTGAGTTTGGCTATAATTTAATAGCAAATAATAATTAATCTCTATGAGATCCATCATCATTACAAACACAACTTTTGCAGGAATACAATCTGTTATTTACATTTCAACTAGTTTCTCAGACAAAAGAAAAGACTACATAGAAAATATTTCATTCGTCAAGCTCTTCATGTAAAAAAGAAGCTAATTCCAATTAAAAAAAAAAAGTCAACTATTACCCCCTTATCTAAAGTTCAGAAAGTAAATCATTTCAATACCTTCTTGGGAAGAGGTGTCTTTAAGATAGACAACGACTCAGTAATGCAATCCACTATTTCTTCAGCAGCTTCAGCGTTATTAAGACAGAAAACCATGGCATCTCCAATATCATTTTTCCTTGGCGTTAATCCTCGCAAGATTTCTTCTAATTTATCCCGCTGTCTGAATATAAGTTTTCACTTATAAATATTTAAACATAATATTCCAAACGTACCAATAACTACTGCTCACAGACTAGCTTCTTGTGGGTGTTTCTCAGTAAATTTACCAATTACTGTGTTCACCTCACAAAAACTAGTTTGTTTAAAACCCACTCAGATAAAATGGTTTTCAAGATTGAGTTTTGTTAGGTTCTCTCCAAATTTGGTATAATTTTTTTTTGAGGGGGGTAGAGACAGAGTTTCTCTGTGTAACAGTCCTGACTGTCCTAGAACTAATTTTGTAGACAAGGCTGGCCTCGAACTCACAGAAATCCACCTGCCTCTGCCTCCTGAGTGCTGGGATCAAAGGCATGTGCCACCACTGCCCATCTACAATTTTTTTAAAAACTTATATAGAGCAGAATACTTTTTCTAAAAATAACAAAATATTCTAGTGACTTTATGGTCATTTATTTTAAAGTCTCCAAAAGTATTCCACTCTTACTATGCCCATTAAAATAAAAAACCTCCCAGTTCTCCATATCCTTTCTTTGGAGGAAGTATTACTTTATTAACATTACAAGGAATTAAGTTGGACAAGCTTTTTCTTTAAGGAAAACATAAATATTTTAGGTCCTGAAGATCACATGGTCCCTATAACAGTTCCTCTACTGCTATTATTCCAAGGAAGCCTTACATATATGCAAAGCAATGAGAACCATTGTTTTTCAATTAAACTTTATTTAGTTGGAAAGCAAGATGGCAAAGCAGGTAAAAACACTTGCCTCCAAACCTGATAACCAGTTTCATCCCTAGGACCCACAGATGAAAGAATAGTGTCCTGCAAACTGTCCCCTAGCCTCCATATGCATACCATGAGTATGCATACACACACACATATACAAATATAATAAGTAAATGTAGTAAGAACTTTAATCTTCATTTCTAAAACCAGAAGATAGCTAGATTTAGACTAAGGACTGGATCTATAGCTAATGTAATGAACATAAACCTAAAGGAACAAATACATTCAACAACTGAAGGACCCCACTAGCAAAAACCACCTCACCAGCAAAGCACTGAGGCAATGGGTATTAAGCTTTCCACACTGTGCAATGAAGTATGTAGCATTACATGCTAAAATCTTTTAGCCAACATTTTCCACGAGGTATAAAGAACCTCTAAACACTTATTTAATATGTCTGCTTTTTAAAATAGAGCTAACTCATTATACCAGTTCTGAACGAACACTCTTTGTAAGATTTAATTTTTATCTTATGTGTTTGAATGTTTTATTTCCATGTGTATATATACATACACAACATGCACATCTGGTGCGTACAGAGGCCAGAAGAGGACACAGGAACCCTAGAACTGGAGATAGAGATGGTTGTGGGCCACCATGTAGGTGCTGAGATCTGAATCCAAGTCCTCAGCAAGAGCAACAAGTGCTTTTATTAGGTGAGCCATATTAGGTGTGCACCAATATTAATGTTTTCCTAGCTGCCATCTCAGAACTACTACACTCAATAGTAGTAGTTCTATAGTTCTATATAAAACTACAGAAAGGCTTTACCTGACCCCAATACACGGTAATTTTTCTTCTCTTATCTTGGACTCTGGCAAAAATTCTAATAATCTCTAGGTAATTTCTCTAAGAACTTTAAGTATTGTAATGCTAGAGAAAGAGCTCAACTATATTTAAGAGATGATCACTAATTTCATCAGGAGGTGGTTAAATTCAACAGGATACACTCTTGTTATTTACCATTACATTTATCCAAGATGTCTAAAATCCTAAAATATGAAATAAAACATGCTCCACACTGGCAAGTGGGAATCTCGCTTTCTCTTATGGCTTGAAAGAGTTAGAGCAGACAACTAAAGGCAGCAAGCATTAGGACAACTTTCCTGAACATACAACAGAAAAGCTCTTACTCTTCCTTGAGTGCTCCCTTTTTACTGGGCTCTTCCACAAAGGCCTCCGCCTCTTGCTCTTCTGACATCCCATGAAGGTATGGATTTAATGGTGGTGGCCTCCAAAAAGATCCATTTTTGAACATACGAAAATCTTCTGTCCGCCATTTAGTTGGAGAATCTCCCTAATAATACCCAAAAAGTTATTAGAAAGTTCCAACCTCAGAGGTAAAATCAACAAAGTAACTGATCCTACTTGCCTGCAGAATAGAATAAAGCTTCCACCTGTAGTAGACATGGGCTGGTGTCTGGTTTTCAAATAAGAACCTAAACAAGACAAACAAAAACAATAAATACCATAGTCTTTAGTGTCTACATGAAACCAGCTCCTTGTGCCTATTCAATTAAAAAGAGAGAGAGCACACTACTATCAATTAAATAAAACAAATGAGAAATATTATTTGCCCTTTTACTTCTAAAGAAGACCAAAAGCAAAGACCCTGTGGCATGGGGGTAGGAAAGGAGTCCTTTCATTTTCATAATATGCACCCTTCCCATGCCCGAGACTGCCTTAAAAACTAATATGAACACTCAGAATGACTGCTTTTATAATTTTAAAATTTTTGTTTGGTTTTGAGACAGGATCTCTCTATGTAGCCATGGCTGTCCTGGAACTCACTATATATACCAACAAGTTACCCTCCAACTCACAGAAATTCACCTGCCTCTGCCTCCCAAGTGCTAGGATTAAAGGTGTGCACCACCATACCATAACTGACATTATAAAGCACAGGGCAGAAGATAAACTAGAATACTAGAGAGATTTTCTCAACAGGTAATTTGAAAAGCTTTTTACCCTATTTAATAGAATATTGAATCAATGTCTTAAATAAAGCAATTCAGATGATAAACAATTTCCTTTCAAACTACTTTGCTCAATTCTAGCTTGCTTATGACTTTCACGGGAAAGCATAATGGAAGTTATTTTCCTCCTAGACAATGCTAAGAGCTAAATCTTACTACTTTTAGAATTTTATTCTTGGGAAAATACATCTATATACGATGTATTTGTTTGCATGTGTGCACATGCTCATGCACAGCACAGAACAAACAGCTCTCTCTTTCCACCACATGGGTTCTGGACTCTGAACTCAGGTTGTCAGCTTGGCAGCAAGAGCCCTGAACCCAGTGAGCTATCTCACTAGCCTACTCTTGGAAATATTTTCAGTATCAAAAGAGAAAGAAACAGAGTTAAAAGGCTTTCAAATACCTATATGAGGATAATTAAAGTATAGAATATAGACACAGACTTTAAAAGGAGCTGGGGATGGATTTTGCCTGTAAATCTCAGTAATAACGTAGGGCAAGCACACAGCCAGTCTAGGCTACAGAATGAGATCATCTCACTCTACACCTCATCTGCCTCCAAAAGAAAGTATTGAAGTCAAGTCAGTCCCAAAAGACAAACATTGTATGATTCTACACTTAGAAAAATATGTAAGGTAGTCAAATTCACAGAAATACAAAGAATGGTGTTTGCAAGGGGCTATGAGAAGAGATGAAGAGTTATTCTTATTTAATAAGTATAGAGTTTCAGTTCTGGAAAGTGAAAAGATGTCTGGAAATGAATTGATAAGTGGTATGTTGTAAAATAATGTGAATGTATTTAACGCCACTTGAAAATAGTTAATGCTAAATTTTGTTATAGATTTATTACATAATAAAAGAAGCACACCTGAACATAGGATTGTTGATTTCTCTGTTCATAATCATAGCTTCAAACATTGGCCCTTCACGCACAACAAATTCTATCATTCGGTGTATCAGGGCGAGCAAATTCCTACAACAACAACACAGTTAAAGAAAATGGATTCAGACACACCCCTATATCAAACTACACTTGACCTAAGTTACTATAATGGTGCAGTTAAAAAAAAAAAAAAAAACATTCTGCTGACTAACAGAATTTCATATCAAAAAAGTAACCTGGAGCACACATTCAAGGCCTTGTGCGTTAAGAGGGAAAGGGCCAGTGAGGGTGGAGGAACAGGGAGCAAGGAGAGGTGAAGGAGTGTGGGAAGCCACAAAACAGCCTCACAGTAACAGACTGCATTTCCTAAATGCCACTTAACATTACTTCCAAAATGCAAAAAAATTAAATTATAAATCACAACTAATTGGATATCAGCAACTTGCAATTTGCATGTTACAGCCATCTAAAAATGTATACACTATGTCTTTTTTAAAGAAATTAGTCCTAATACAGATACTTTCATAATGATATTGAAATGTTATGACCATAACTTTAATTTACAAAAATGTAAAACTATTTAACAAATATAAGGCCTGATTTAATAAAAGACCCATCCAAATTACTGTGTTCTAGTACACACATACCAGATGTAGTTTTTATTAAATCTGACCTTTAATGAGGCAACATCCCTTTGAAGCACTTCAAAATTAGTTTAGAATTCCTAACGTGTAATCCTGCCTGCATATTACCAACCAATGAAAAAACTATATTGTAAAGCCATGAGTAAAGGAAGTCCTCCTACACTTTACAAAACAGGGGACATGGTGAGGTGTCCACTCTCTGTAATACTTATCTTCCAATGTTTGAGCCAAAAAGATAGGAGCTACTGTTAATAAACAGTTGAACTCATAGGAAGAATTTAATTTTTTAAATCAGAAAATAAAATCTTTATTAAAAGATTCCAAACTAATTTCAGATATTGAGTAATGTGTCAGGCAGAAATGACTCAGCTTCCTTATTCCTAAGCTGCTCTTGACTTCACTTCCACCAGTCCCCAAGTAGTACAAAGCTGGCAAGTTACAACTGGGAAAAGCAAAAGGATATTGACTCTTGGTAGAAGACACATATAAATTACAGCCTGAGCATTCTTGGCTCAATTAAGTCCATGTAACTGCTAGAATATAAATATAGTTATACAAGACAGATTTTTTTTTTTGAGGGAGGTCTATAATACTCTGCTTCAAAATACCTGATCATGAAATCATCTCTTATACTGACTATATTTTCTACAGTTTTTAAACAAGCCTACTCAAATGGACACTAATATTTCTACATAGTAGAAAAAAATAATTCTAAAGATCAAAAAAATTACATGGAAGTTTAAATCTTTACAAAGGGGAAATTATCCTTTAGAACTATCAATTCAACTTCAAATTGTTAAAAAAAAAATCAGTTAATTTTAACTTAAAAATTATTCTCCTTCACAAATATATTAACTGGGCAGATACACAGTGCTGCTCCCTAGTGAGAAGGAACTCAGCACCCTCATAGTCTGTAGCACTGTTTAGAAAGGGCCATGCAGTTATTAGTCAGTTCTAAAATCCCCACTGATACAAGGCAAATTAAAGCTCAGGGAAGTTTCATGTGCAAATCATAATACATGACCATTTACCAAGTAGACAAATGTTATTGACCCAGAAACTTTTATCAATACAGTCAAAAACAATTTGACTTCAGTCATTTAAGGAACATGAAAAATGGTTTATCATAGCAAAGGATTCATTCTAATGGTAAGTCAAGATTTTTCAGCAAAATATATACATAAAATTTTATTTAGAAATAATCTGAGTCACACATAAAATTACTGGATTTTTTTTTTTAATGCTACAAAAAATACTCTCCCTGTGAACGTTTTAATAGTGGAAAAATAACCCACTATAGTTTTAAATAGGCTTGTACTGATAAAAATCTATCTATAAAAAAATTACAAACTTAAAGGAGGTTAAAATGTTTCATATGACTATTTAAAATCAAAATCTGACAATTAGTTGCTGCTGTCTTGGAATCAAGAGTAAAGCATTGCAATCATATTCTTCCATTAAGGATTATATAATTTTCTTATTTAAAAAATGACTTTTCGATCAAAACAAAACAGTGTAGTACAAAAATGTTATATTTTAAAGTGCATTATTTTATTTTTAAACAGTAATTATCTTATTCTGGGCAACCACAACAAAAAAAAAGTCTCTCAGTTATAATAAAACCACATTTATTGGAGTCGATCGTACCAATGTCTGGTCAAAAACTGTATACTTTCCCAATCCATCCCATGATGTTTTCCTGGTCCCCCGCTGCCGCAGACAGTTCAGCTGGTGTTGCTCACCAAGGCCAATGTCAAAGAGAATTTGGAATTCTTTTGTGTTCATTTATTATTCAACCAGTGTTGTGTTCCTGTGTTTGGGAAAAGGCTGAGCTTGACTGAGCAAGAGCATACCTACAGCATGATTGTTCTTCATTAGCAATGTATTTAAAAAAGAAAAAAAAGGGAAGAAAGAAAAATAAAAAGATCCAAATATCTTTGTTATCATGACTAAAAATTCCTATTATATCTTATGTCCACAAAAACAATTGGAATTTCTTCTCAAAATCAATTATGGAAAATTAAAAAAAAAAAAACTGCACCTCCAGTAACATCTAAAACCAAGATTGTATATTAAATGTAGATAATCCAGAAACCAAGAGAAAAGCAATAGATTGGCTCAAATTGTAATATTATCTAAAATTTAAGACATGTTTTATTTAAAATACCTATTTTCCCTTCACAATAGTTTCAAATTACTAGACCAACAACTCTACATTAATCTACTTAACCATTCTAATTTCTAAAGCTATTAAAAACTATCTAAAACGATAACAATAAAAACAAAAGAAAAGATAACATAAAATTCCAAAGTGTAATAACTTATTAATTTTTATACATCCCCCCAAAAGCACTGGGAAGGAGCCATTGCTCAGTCAAGATATTACCTTTTCCTCAACACCATTTCTTTTCAATTCAGAAGGGGATATTGTCTATATTTAGATCAGTAATAATAAAGAAAAACATGTACCTTTCTGTTGGGATAACCACTTTGACTATGGCTTGCGACAGAGTCTGTATATGAAGTCACATCAGATAATAAACATAGAATATGTGAGTATTGTTAACAAGTAACAAGCAAAAATATACATAATGCATTGAAAACACTACACATCTAATCACAAGTTCTGCAGGCAATCACTGCATTGGAAGTAATTATACACTATGAAATTACATAAATGCAAATGGATGTGTTCACAGTGAACAATTAATGTTCACCAAATGCAAAGAATCAGAACATTCCTGCTAGAATGCACATCAATGCACTGAAATAGGTACTACACTGAGAATTATCAGATAAAGATTTTAATTCGTGAAGTAATTAACTGTTTGCCTCTGATTATACAGTTTGCTACTTTGTTCCCAAGCCTTTAAAAACAGCCCTGCAACTTCAAGTGTAATTAACTTGTAACAGAACCAACAAATTCTTAAACTTGAAATTAAGTTGGTTTTATGTTTAATAAAGAAAAATACTCACCCTTTGCCTTTACTACATTAATTAACTATTTTTGAAGTACCATATATGCTGTTATATAGTCTAATACACCTCAAGACCTCGAAAGCTAAGTTAGTTTGCTGCCATCCAAACAATTTAACTATTTAGGTGGTCTTTCTAATTGAAAAGTCTCTTAACCAAATAAAAACTATCATGTTCTTAGAACAAAGTAAATTCAAACACTGAATTCAAGCAAACCTGAATACAACACTGAACAAGGGGAGGGGAGCTTACCGAGGGGTCAAAAGGGAATGGTAGCCACAAATAAAAATAGGACCTAAATTACTTCAATATAGGGTTTCCATGGGCTAAGGCAGGGAACATATCTACTTATTTCTTTATGAGTTGCCAGAGTAACACACATATTTTTATAAAATTGTTGAAAAGAAATACTACCACAGATTTAGTATTTACATATTAGATTCAGCCCTATGTACATTGTTTAAATTACCTTCTCAAAATCCTCCTTGTTTTTAGGTGGTGGTAACATGGGAGCATTGGGGTTTTTTAACCGCTCTCTAGGCTGCGCATTAAAAGGCAGTCCGGATGGAGGTGGGGGGAGTGTGTGTTCCATCATAGAAGGCGGAATGTATATTGGATGTGGAGGAATAGGTACAGCTTTACCCCAACCTAACTTCATTTCAAAAGACATAATCATTTTTCCTACAAAAGAAAAAAGAAAAGAGAAAGGTTACTTTGACAAGCCTCCAGAGAAAAAAGTATTTCTGGCAACTTGAATTAAATTTCCTTTACAGCCTTTCGAATTTGATTTAAAGTCTCAGTACAGTTTTTATGAATAATCTTCTATACCAAAGAAAGACCTAAATTCTATAAATGGACCATAAGAACTTTACCATTTAAATTTTTCAGAGCTCTTTCAGCATCTCTTCTATTCATAAAAGCCACAAAGCCACAATTTCTTTCTCTTGCTCGTTCTTCATCAGTTCTAGGCCACATAATTTTTACACTAGCTAATGGTCCAAATCTTCCAAATTCTTGACACAGCATTTCTTCATTCATCTATTAAAAAATGAGCGTGTTCGGTTATACACAAAGGGGGAGGGGCACAAAGAAGTCTATGCAGCCCAGAAAGCAAAATCATTTTCACAAAGTAAAAAGCAACATATTAATGCTATAGTATTACATCCTAATATTAGGAACTCAACACTGGGGCATTTGCAATATTTTCCTATTAGAAGCCTTCTATGTTATTGAAATAAGCAGCTAGGGTCTAGGTCCTAGAGCTACTGGAACCAAAGGTGAATCTGAGTTCTCTTCCTGTCTGACAGCAGTGGCTTAGCTATAAACTGAACAGCATTTCAGGCAAGAGTGGGGAGTGTATCTGTGGATGACGGAAAGAAAAACAGACTCGATTGCTTTCTTCTCTCTAGTCCTCATCTATCAGGGTGATCAAAAAAGTCAGAAAACTATACATACACAGCACAGTCGGAAGTACAATTTTTTTCAACAAAATATTCCATCTAACTACTGTATCCCCCAAAACATACTAATCAACCTGAAGCAAAGGAACTGAAACACTGAAGCCGAGCTCCAGCTAAAACAGGAACACAGTTCAGCAGGGAAAGCGTGAGGAGGAGGAAACGGAGCTCTAAGAGAGCTACACCTCCCGAAGAGGTGCCTCAAAAAGCACAATTCAGTCACTAAAGGGAAGACACAGCTTCAGGAATGTACAGGAAACAATTTAGATCTAACCAGTAAGTCCCAAGTTTACAAAACAATTACTAACTACTATCTCATTCCATCAGATTCGTTAACTTCAGAATCTAAATTTTACTTTTCTAACTGTCCGACAACAAAAATAACCGGAAGTCAACACTCATTTTATTTTACTGAGATTACCTGTGGATTAATGTTTCCAAGGTATAAATTAGTGGTACTTGGATCTCCTACATCATGTGAGCCAGGTGCATAGTCATCAAGAACTAAAACAAGGAGAAAAAAACAAATTACACTCTGTGAAATACAAAGCTGAAATTTCTATTAATTCAAAGAGCAAAAAACTGTATTACCACCAGATGATCGATTTCTTCTTGAAGGCACATCCACTTAAAGGGAAAAAAAAGAGAACAACTCTTAGTTTTTAAGATAATAAATCATAAATACATACATTAAAATAAACGTCACTTACTAGAACGTCGCTGACCATCAGAATCTGACTGAGGAGGCTCAAATCGACTTAACCTGCCTTTTGTTTTATGTCTCTCATCACGTTCTTCCTGAATTCTGTTGAAAATATTTAGCAGACTTAGAGTAAGCCAAATTCATACTTAGAAACAGAGCTTATCGAAGTAACATCTTCAAATAATGTAACGTATTTGCATTACCAGTAATTATAACCAAGATTAGTGAGCCCCTCAAGTTACAAGACAGGAACAACCCTATCTCTACAAGTCCACACTGAAAATAATGTCTCTTTGGGGGTGAAAAGAAAATTCAACATGAAACTACTGCTTACATTTTTGCTCTTAATAGATCTGATGACCTCTACCCTAGTGAATAAATAGGATTCCAGATAGGAAATAAACCAATTGAATTAAATCTACACATGACAAGCAGCAATGGACACTGATTACATGCTAGTTGACTCTCAAGCACATACTACCATCTATTGTAGCTACAGCAAGCTCACTTGTAAGCCAGCTGATAACTAGTATACATACCAACATCTGATATAATTATCAGTCCAGGATGCCTATGATAGAGAATTCTCCCTATAAAACTTACTGTTTTAGTTCCTCTTTGAAAAGTTCCAAATTGCTTTTTTTCTTTTCTTTCTCCCCTTTCTTCAGTGGCTATAAAGAATATGATAAGTTACAGTTGAAAACAAAGATTGAACAAGATTTATGGTTTGACAGTGATAAAAATCTTCTGGGATTGCAAAATGGCAATTTTTGAATAACTGAATATACTAAGAGTCCACCCTAATTATACAGACTTTGAAGAGCAAATTTTAAGGTGTGTGAATTACATAGCAATAAAGCTGTTATATTTTAATTGCTTTCAGAGCTATCTTAACAGCCACACAAGAAAAATCAATCTCACTATTTAATGTAATCATATTTAATTAACCAAATGTGGCTCCAAGTGGCCTGATCCCTCATTTATCAACCTATTATCCCTTATAAAACTCCTATTTCTGATGAATAAAAACTCTATAATGAGAAATTAAAAGACAGATAACATCAGCTCTGACAGTAATCACTAAGAAGTTCTAAAACCATCCTGAGAAACATGTGCATATTGCTAATAATTTTAGGATCTTAGTTTCAGAACGGTTGAAAAGAACAGTATTACCCTACATCTACAAAGCTTCTGACTTACAACATATAATATGAATACAGTAACAAATGTTCAAGGGTGTTACTGCCATGTCCTAACCTAACCTGCCATCACTCATCCACATGAATTACCGAGTTAGGCAACATCAAAACCCAACACCTACTCCAGACTTGTAAACCATAAAAAGTTTCTTGCAGGGGATGCACTCAAAGTACCAGTAACAATACCAGCTTCTAAAATAAATGCTCAATTATTTAATAATTACTTACAGGTTTTTTCGTTTCAATCACAAGAAGAGATGGCGGCCTTTCATTAGATGACTGATTTGGAGGATTTTTCTGATCTGCAAATCTTGAAGATGGCTTATAAATTTTACCTCTTTTTTCATCTGTTTCATGTTCATCTGAAATTTAAAATACTAAGTTGTAAAACTAACTTCATATAATTTTGGTTTTT